ATATAAATATATATATATATATATATACTTAATTTTACAATTAATTTTTATTTGCACCCAACCATTGGTCAGGGAAAATTGTATGATGACATGTAAACTCAAAATATCAAATATTCAATTTAAACTGCATTTCCTTTTTTTCTAGATTGATGCCAGTGTCATCGAACTAATGACAGATGAGCAGCTAAAGACATACTTTCCATCTTACGGTGATCGTTTGGCCATTTTGGGATTTTGCAGACAGAAAGCCAGTTACAGGAATGACCCCAATAACAGAAAATCAAAACTTTTTGAGCGATTGAAATCTAAATTATCCAAAAAACGTAAGTGTGATGATTCTGTCACAACAAGTCAACAACACAAAATAAGGAATGCTCAAAAGACTATGAGAAAGGTAGAATTAGGATGGATGAATTATGAAGCAGAAAATGACATCTTCAGACAAGTGAGAACAAGAAAGGGTGGTGGTACACGAAAAGTAGATGTCTCCAAAGAATCCAAGAAACCAGATTTGATTCAGCAAGCAGTCAAGCTGTTTTTTGCAGATGGAAAAAGCGCTGAGGGAGACATCACTGAGTTTGAGGTAGATTTAAAGGATTACAAAGAAATGTCTGTGGATGAAGACGTTACAGTTGGAAAACTCTATGCAGACACCAAGTTGCCACTTTTACGGTTCTATCTCACAACTAAGAAAAAAAGTAACTTGGGCTCACATGTGCAACAGGAAAGTGATGTGGCTCTGACTACACAAGAACTGACCAGCTCCCCAACAACGATGCCAGCGGAAAGATCTGAAAATACAGATGTGATTTACATCGGGAGCACCATCGAACCAGAGATGCCTTATTCCACAGAGATACATTCCTCCAACCTAGATGGCAATGCTTTGGATGACAGCAACACTATCACATTTGTCACTGAAGACATTTTTAATGTGGAGGACCAAAGTTTGGATGATACATTACCTGTCTGTAAGAAAAATAAAGTTTAAAAAATTTAAAAATAAATGAAGAAATAAAGAGGATCTTAGTTGTCCATCGCGGTCATGTCCTCCCAGAACTCATTGCTCATTTTTTGGATGAAAGTGTGTTCGGGTGTGAAATAAAAATTCAACTTATTGCACCAGATGGAAAACTTGAGAAGGGCCATGATGAAGGAGGAGTTGTGAGAGACTGTCTTTCTGAGTTCTGGAATGAGTTTTATGAACAGTGCACTATGGGCAGCTCTTTCAAGGTGCCTTTCCTTCGGCATGATTTTGGGCAAATACACTGGGAAAGTGTAGGCCGTATAATTGTCTTTGGATGGCAAAAGGAAAAATATCTTCCTGTAAAAATAGCTCCAGTAATCCTGGAGCAGGCTGCTTTTGGAAGTGCTAAAAGCAATGTCATCGAGAATTTCCTGAAATTTGTTCCAGAGTCAGAACGAGCAGTCTTTGAAGCATGGCAATCTGACTTCAACACTGTGGACAACAAAGAACTACTTGAAGTTTTGGATGGCCATAGCTGTCGTAAAACACCAACAGAGGACAATGCAGAGGAAATATTACAAGAACTTGCCCACAAAAAACTCATCCAAGAGCCTGCCTATGTCATCGAGCAGTGGGCAAGCATACTTTCCACTGCTATCAGCCATCTTGATGAAATCTCCTCTGTGTATGAAAACTTGCAGCCCACTGTGAGAAAAGTTCTGAAGTCACTTTCTTTCCCAGAAAACATGAATGCCCAGCAGAGGGAGATTCAGAGGTATTTAACCACTTACCTTCGGGAATCTGACACACCGGGTCTGTCACGGTTTCTCAGATTCTGCACTGGTTCTGATCTTTTTCTGGGAAAAACTATCATCATTATGTTTACACTGATTCAAGGATTCCAACGACGCCCAGTTGCACACACATGTGGATGTATCCTGGAGCTGTCAGTTTTCTATGACAGTTATCCTGATTTCAGATCCGAAATTAACAAAGTCTTAGAATGCAATGTGTGGGTGATGGACATTATCTAATTGCTGAAGATAAAAAAGATGTCTACCTTTAAATGTAAAAGTCCAATTACATTTAGATTATATACAACCATAAAACTTACCTTTTTTTAGGTATTGTTTCCTAGTTCTGAACTGTCTGAATGTACAACTGTAATTTCTTGTACAGCTGTAATAACTATAATACAGTGTTAAAGTAATGCTACGTTATTGTCAGTCAGTTGTAAGGCTGTTTGCAGTTGCTGCTCAGTACTGAGCATTTCCTTACGTAATGTCTTACAGATATACAAATAGTGCAAAATTCCAGTGCAAAGATTTTTTTGCTGTGACCAAGTAACACTCCATGCAAACCTGTTTTAGTGTTCTGTTTACAGTTAAATGTGTTTACAGTTAGTTTAGTTGTTAGTTGTACATTTGTTTGTGACTACAGCTGAGCGTTGCCTTCCTTTTCAGTATGTGATGTCTTAAGGATATGTTGCAATGCAATATGTTGTGCTGTTTTCAAACAGCAATACACCCATTCCTGTTACATTATACAGAAAATAACCAGAAATATTAGTTTTTTGTTTTTTAAGAATTGCCGGCTTTGCTTATGCAGTATAAAACCCATACTGCTTTCTTAGTTTTTTAATTTTTTTATTTTGAACATTAGCAGGTCTGCATTTTCAGTTAAATTCAATAAATGTTCCACAACATAAAATTGTATGTAACAGTGACACCAATAAAGTGAAAAGTACAGTGTATGAGTAAAAAAAAAAGAGTTACATTGTGATCATATCAATGTATTGCTGCTCAATCAACACATTTTCTATATTACTAAGCTGAGAATAACATTTGTTCTCATACATGCTTCCAGTGCAGTCAATCAGTTGATGATACACTTCACAAATAATGTTAGTCTGTGTCACGTAGTTCATTGTTTATCAACTCCCTGAGTTTGATATAATTATCCACAGTTGAAAAGACATCTTTTGACATATCCAGATTGTGTTCTGTAATGAGGTGAACACAGGCATCAAACACATCTTTGTCACATGGGTAGTCTTTGAATACACATTCCTCCAGACACACTTCCACGACTTCTGGGTCTACAGGGTGTAAGTAATCTCTTGCACCATATAATTGCGGTACTACGTGCATAATTGCTGGACGACCGTTTGGAGATCGAGAGTTATGCACTGGTCGTATTCTGTGATTGTTCCATGACGATGTCACTTGATCCAGTTCCTCCTGAAAAATTAAATGAATAAAAGATTATTTACATAATGGGTTGATAACCTGTAGTCAGTAAAGATACCTTTACAAAAACTGCTACATAGAATTACAACACTGCTTGTGAGATACAAAGTAATTGTAGTCAACAGGTTTAAACGGACATGTTTATAATACATTATTATAACAAAATAAAACGTGATTACCTGTATTAAGTTTTGAAAACAGAATTGGATCAAACATTTGTCCAGGAAATTGTCCGCATAATGTCCATCCTCTTTTAGATTGTCGAACAGGTTCATCCAAAACTGGATGCACTGACTTCTTAGTGTAAGCCACCATCTCTCAATCCTTTGATTGCTGGTGCTTGGCCCAAAACTGACGCAAGCAGAGTCGGGATGCGTTCCATGATGCAGAAATTTCTGCATCTCTGCAACATTGACGTTTTCTGTACCGAGATCCAATCTCACCAAATTAGGGCAACCCTCTGCTTCTATGACAGCTGTCATAAAGTACCCAGCAATAACCCGAGGATCATTGTTTGTTCTGTAAGCTTCGAGCCACATTATTTTTCTTGAAAACCCGTCTATACAACCACTTATACCTATTCCGTATGGCTTTAAGTTGTCGTATCCATCGATATGCCACACATAATTAGGTCCACGGCTGAAATACACTCGCCGGCGAAGTCGATTCCTAGACCTTAGATCAACTCCCTCGCCGTCTAGCAAACGTAAAATCACCCGCACGGTCTCTCTGTCTGTGATAATTCCATTGAGCCAGCATTTCTGATGCATCCACCTGTAACCATGTGACTGCCCTGATGTTTGTAGTTGTTGCTGAATGAAAGCTGCAACATCAGCTTCATCAGTCTTGTTCTTCCTCCTCCAAAGCTGGTGTTTGCTCAATATTCGCTCAAGGGTGCGATTGCTAATTATGACTCCATGTACCTCTTTCAGTAGAGTTAGTATTTCACGATTGGTTAGTCCCCGTCTGAAATACTGCTCTATTTGTTTAAAATCCATGGATCACACGGAGGCCCGCATCAGCAACACTGGCGCACAGTCAGTACAGTATGCGTCATAATTACAACGTTTCTCATTATTATGCGATGTTAAATCATTATTACGAGAAAGTTTCTCATTTTTATGAGAAACTAAGTCATTATTATGAGAAACTAAGTCATTATTATGAGAAAATAAGTCATTATTATGAGAAAATAAGTCATTATTATGAGAAAATAAGTAATTATTATGAGAAACTAAGTCATTATTAGCTAAGTATAAGTTTAGCACAGCTATATTTTCACTCGCCGAGAACACTCTGACTGCTTGCTTCAGAGTTTCACTCTCCGTCAAGCGATCTGTGATATTTCTCAGTTCATCTGAATGGTTGTGCAACGCACCTGTGTTTGACATACCGTGAACTCTAGTGTAAAGGCGCATACCTTGTCTCACACACACGCAGAGAGAGAGAGCGCGAGAGAGTCTACATGCAGAATTGACGCGCTACATGTAAACTATATTCTTTGTTGTATTTTCCGGTCAAAATAAAGCCGTTCCTTTGGAATTCTTCAGCTTATAAGAACTGCCGGGTTCTCCGGTAGTGGGCGGAACTAGTGCACAAGCGACAATCTCATTGGCTGACGCTCACCTATTATCATCCCTGTTTTGATTTCAGCAAATCAGTTCGAGCGAACGCACACAACCTGATTAATATTCATGAATCCAGCAGCTCATTAATCATTGCAGAACCGTGCATTTTATATTGTTCTTATTAGTAGAATTCTAGGTATTATTATTATTATTATCTTATCAGTATTATTGTTAGTTTTTCCACTTTTTTTTTTACAGAAACACTGAATAACCAAAAAAGCAGCACCACCAGTCCTAAGTTCAGTTAAAATGACTAATATGCATTCATACATGGTTTTAATTCTAATTAACGGTACTAAAGTTCTACCATTAAATACTACTCGATTATCATATAATGCTTGACTGACTGATGTTAGTACTTTCAGATTTTTAAAAAGCTGTGCCATTTTATAAACATTTTTTCATATATATATTTAAAACACACACACACATGCATATATGGTATATCAGTCTGGCGAGTAAACAAAAAAATTTACTAGCCAATGGCGATACAATTGCCAAGGTGTCCGTAGAGGGTTGAATAACTACCTTTATTTGTGAAATAGCCTTTGTTATATGGGTGTGTGATATATATAGTTTGCAATGATATCGTAATTGTTGTTTTAACGATGTGCGATTTGACATTATCGAGTATATTGCAAAAATCAAACAAAACTCACCTAACGTTACAGAGTGCACGGGCCTACGTAAAGACGTCTAGTAGGTTAGACTAGCACGTGTGCGTTCTTTCACTGCATGATTCAGTATTAAAATGCATGAAGAATGATCAGAAAATTCAAGATATGGGGGCAGAAAATTAATATATTTATATCATTTCATATAGTTAAACAATATCACACGAAGATCGAGCGCCATTTTTTTGCTCCAAAAATCAGCATGATTACAAATGTGATTTTATACAACAGTTTAATAAACAATTAGTTAATATTAAGTGACTTACGTTTTAGACACCATATTGCCTGTTTTTGTTCTATTTCGCCAACAGAAATAATTCCAAACACAGCCACAGCACTGTTTTGCGTCTCTGAGCAACATGACGGTGTTTCGTTCCTGAATGCCTTCTTTTTATAAAGGGCCCTAAGCAAGGCAAAAAAAAAAAAAAAACACCCTTAAAGGCATTGAGGTGCACACCCTTAATTTTCAGATTGGTTAAGTTATTTAATGGCAGATTCTTAAATAAAAAAAAAAAAAAAAATTTCAAATATCAGTATTCAACGTTTTATGTATCAAAACATTATTTATTCATTTGTAACGGCAGGTTAAAGCATTCCATGTCCCTCTGAGCTGCATTAAACAGTGGGTAAATATTCAACTCAATTCAAAATTGCTTCATTGGCATGACTGTAAATGATACAATATTGCCAAAGCTTAGTATACATGTACAAAAAGATAAAAAATAATAATATAATAACAATAATAATAATTAAATGAACATCACAGTAATAGAATGGAATATTATAACATCTTAGAAATATTAAACTGTAACCAATTATAACGTGTGAACATTTGACACCACAGTCTTTAACTTACATAGAAACACACATACATACTTAGGATCACTGTGGTGGACAGTAGGGTAACACCCTGAGGTCAGACACAATACACATTCACCTGCTGTCTCTCTCACACTCACACATACACACTCACACACACACACACACACACACACACACACACACTTCTTTATTAAGTTGGTGAATTTGTTGAAGTAGAGGTTTCTTATGGATATGTATTTATGACAGTGAAGGAGGAAGTGCGTCTCTGTCTCGATCTCTCCTGTCTCACAGTGAGCACACACTCTCTGCTCTCTGGGTAACCAGCTCTTTCTGTGTCTGCCGGTCTCGATGGCTAGACTGTGCTCACTGAGCCTGTACTTGGTCAGGATCCGTCTCTGCTTTGTGTCTCTGACACTCTGGAGATAATCTTCCAATTCATAATTTGATTTTAGAGATCGATAGAATTGTAATTTACTTTGTGTTTTAGTTTCCTGGTCTCAATGTTCCAGATATGTATTTTTAGATTGTTTAGATTGTTTTAGACATCTTTTTCAAAAAATTTTTTTCATAAATATAGTGATTAGATTCTTCAGTTCTTCATAATTCAGGGCTTGGAGGAATTTTTCGGTGCTGTCTGGAGTCCATTTGTATCTCTGCTGGATACCTGGAAACCTGATACATTTTGCAGGTTTCCAGCTTGTTTTGTTCTGGTGTGTGATTTGTTTTAATATAAATGTTAGTTTGGTTATGGTCAGAAAGTGGAGTTTGCTGTTTGACAGTGAATGCACTGAAGGAGGACGGGTCCATGTCAGTGATGGCATAGTCAACTACACTAGCTCCAAGACCTGAACAACACGTGAACCTCCCTAAAGAGTCCCCTCTGATCCTGCCATTAAGTATGTACAGGCCTAAAGCTCGGCAGAGCTGCACTAACTCTGAACCATTTTTATTTACAGTTTGGTCAAGATTATACATAAGATTTTTAAAGATAAACCTCTCTCTCTCTCTCTCTCTCTCTCTCTCTCAGTC